CAGTATAATATTCTGAAAGTGGTTTTGAACATGGAATGAGAGGCTGTTTGAGCAATCTATGATCTTTCTTGTTTGTTTTTGTTGGGATTTGTTTTGTTTTTCTTCTGTCAGGCCTTGTCAGAAATAACAAACGTTGAACCGTGGGTATGTGCAAACTTAATTCGCCTCTTTAAAGAGGAAAACACAATTCCTTTTATTGCTCGGTACCGAAAAGAGCTCATCAATAATCTGGAGGCTGATGCCTTGCGAGAAGTGCAGCAAGCATTGGAAGAGCTGCGGTAAGTAAGTTGATACAGGGAATTAACAGGGAGGGTGGTAATAACAATGGGCTGCTGCTTTTCTGTCCCTCATTTTGGCACTTTGTACACATTACAGTTGTGAAGTAACTCATAAAGAAAGTTTAAACCTGAGGTAATTATGCCTGGTATTGGTCTGGGTTTTTTGTTTGTGTGGTTTATTGTTTTGAGGGGTTTTCTACTAGAACTAACAAGGAATCTAGCATTACGCATTATGAATTGCTAAGAAACTGAGTTCTTAATTTCTTTGTGGTTTACCAAGAGTAGTTTACAGGTTCTGGAGATACATAGCTGCACCCTTAAAAAAAAATCACTAAGAATTCCTTGGCTCCTCTCCTTGGAGCAGCAAAGCCTGTAGTGAAGAGCACTACCTGAGGTTGTAACATACCAGGAGGGCAGGCTATAAACTATCCCAGACCATTGCAGCAAAGAAATGATGAGCAAAGCCTGCTGCAGCAGTGTATGAGACTGCTCTTGTTCCTTCTTGGTTTTGGGTGGCTATATGTTCTTGAGATGGCAAGGGAACAGACTTGACAGCTGTTCTGTCAACATGGTGTCTTCCTTCTTGTATGCCTTGCTATTCCCTAAGAAGAGGCTCTTTCCAAAGAGGGAAGATGGCCTAAGAGAGTCTTTGTCTTAACAGTTTAAATCATAACAAAATACCTTTGCTGCTTGCAGTTGCTCACAGGTACCCTGTTGAAGGTCTGTGAGTTTAAAATCTTGTAGCCTGTTCTTGATACTGTAGAACTGTCTTGATATGAATTATAGCTGTAAGTAATCATCAATATGGATTTACTTTAGGGGCTTTTTATTTGCTTTCCAGGCCAGTAATCTTCCAAAACTGTTTATAGCAAGCAGTAATGACTGTCAGTCTTGTTTTGGTGATTTTTCTTAAAGCTACCACAAGATATTTTCATACAGTTTTGAACTAATTGGAGAAAGAGAGTAATATTTAGAAATTTTCAGATTATCATACTTGGTTTGTTGAGGATTAGCATGAGAGATAATCTTCAGGGGTTTTGGAGAGCTTCAGCAGTGTAATAAACAATCAATAACCTTCCTAATCCACCATGAAACGTGACTGTTAGAATCAATCTCTCTCATTTTAGTGCCGTTGCAAAGAAGACACATACAACAATACAGAAGTTGAAGAAAGAAGGGAAATTATCTGGAGGCCTTTTAACGGCATTATTAAATTGCAGAACTTCGGAAGAATTAGACCATGTGGTCAGTACACCAGTCTTTTTCTTATAATCTTTAATTGTTATCTAAAATAACTAAGTAGTGCATAATGCAAAAGTACATAGCATGACTGAATTATTTCCTTGCCTTTTAATAACTGTTTTTTGTTCAAGTCTGCACCTTATAAAACTGGGAGTAAAGGCACCAAAGCCCAGAGGGCCAAGCAGCTGGGATTGGAACCTGCTGCTCTCTCCATCCTGCAGAATCCTATGGAACTCAATCTCTTTTCTTACATTAGACCCAATACCAAAGGTAAGCGCTCTACTTCTATGAGTAGTAATGTCCTAAATGTCTGAAAATTTTTTAGAAGGGGAGTTACTTCAATTGTTCTGATGTTGCTGGAGGTTATGCAACTACTTTTTAAGAGTAGGCGTTTACATGTAATGCCATGGCTCTCCAACTTTTCCTGTCTTTTTGTATTGTAAATAGTAATAATTCTGGTATGCAAGAGACATAAGTCTGGAGACTTTATGGTGACATCTGTATTTACTGGTAAGAGAGAGGGAACTGTACTACGCACCTCTCCATGGTTCTGCACTTACTTGAATTGTTTACTGAAGATTCAGTGCTGATTGTACAAAAGGCTTATGCTCATAGTCTACTGAAATGAATGTCACCCATCAAAGCACACCTGAATAAGAACTTGTCTTGCTGATTGGGAGTGAGTGGGAGAGTTTTTGTTACTGAATGACAGTAGGGGTTGGAGAAGATGTGATTTCTGAAATCTGAGCAGGAACTTCAATGGTGTGATAGTCACATACAGACTGCAGAATTGCATTTCTTTGTGAATGCAGTTATGGGTGAATCTGTAGGGGGCAATCTCTGACAATAAAATACGAAGATTGCTGCAACCTTCTGTGTGGTGTTAAAATAGACATGTATTTTTATTCTTCCCTGCCCCAATGCTTACTTTTTGAATTTAAATGCAAAGGTATGGAACCTCCTTAGTGAGGCTTACTCTTACTCTTCCCACTTCAGTTGTTCTTTTATTTTATTTGAATATTGTTTATAAAATGATCCTAACTTTGCATTGAAATCAGTTACCATATACTCTGTTTAATTACTGCTTTTTAGCATATGTCATTACTTCATATAGTAGTATATTGCAACCACATAGCTGACTATTATGGCAGAGTCTAAGGAGCCAAAAGAAAATCTTCATGGTGAAAGTTCGAATAAATTATTTAGGGTGCATGCAGAAGGAAATGTTATTTGTTGCAGCATAAACATTACAGTTCTTGAAAATCAGTTCACCTATTTTCAATTTCATGCTAAAAATAATGTTATTTAGGTTTATATAATGGTTTGCATTTGAAAGGCGCATCAGAAATTACATCAATGAAGTGGGTCACTTTCATCAACTTGGGAGCCAGTTTGACAACCTCTGTACTCAAGCTTAACATCAGAGAGAACTTTTTTTTTAAAGGAATGAGCCATTTGCTGTACAGAAGTTTTCATCAAATCTTAATATTCAGCTCTCAAATTCTCAGTGTTTTTATACCTATACTAACAATAAACCGAAATAGAAACAGCAGTTCATGTTTCAAAGCCCCAAGTATTTGAAAGTTAAGGAAGCAGGCTCACCAGAAAATTTTGATCTTCCTGTTAGTTGTATGCACAGTCAAATATTTCTCTAATTATTACAAGCATGTACAGTTTTTGCAGTGGACACAGTAAAATGTCCATGTGAGTGGTGCTTGTTGAATGGAAACCTTTTTTTTTTCTTTAATCCTGACTGGGTTTGGCCTATCCTCTCTTATTCACATTCTCTGCTAGAATTATAGTAATCTTGCCATGTACACTTTTAGTACTTAAGTGTCTCAATTCATATTCAATATAATGCATGTTTTATAATTCCCTTAGCATTGTATTCTGACATGACATTACTTTCACCGTAAGAAATGCTAACTCGTAGGTGTAAGGATCCAAATTCCACGACTTCTGAATAGTTCAGGCATTTAATAACACATTCTTATTCTCACATTTTTATTTTTCTTTCTGGCAGGTACATTTAGATTTCCTTTCTTGAAAAAGGGAAAGATTTATTTAGTTTTCTTTTTAGAGTGTGTAACTATAGTCTGATCAGAAGCAGGGTTCTGGATTCAATACAGATATTAGTTTTTAGAGTTATGCTTTTTTAAATGATGTTAATAAAGCTCTTTCCAGATACTAGTAGTCCATCATACAGCAGAGTGAAAAATAATGTGTGTTGAAGGAGACAATGTTGCATCTGCCAACTCTAGGATACTTGCTTTTTTGCTCTGGAGCACAGTTTGCTAGCAGTTGCTAGAAACAGGGTTAGATATATTGATTTTAAAATACAAGATATCAGTTCTATTTCATTACCTTCTGGTTCTGGTCCAGTTTGACCACTGTGCCAAAAAAAAATACTGTGCTATCTTTTCTGGTCTTTTGAAGTGAGGGATGGTTGTGTGTGCTGGAAAGCTGAATGATTCTGTTATCATGTCTCTAGAGTGCTTTACCTATGGAGATATTTTGTAATTTCACTGTTTAAACAGTGTTTCATGGGAGAGGATGAGCGTATCCTCATCTCAGAAGTGTCACTGTACAAATTCTTGCCAAAAACCAGGGAAACTTAAAACTATTACACAGAGGAAAGACAGGATTGCCTGCAAATGTTTTAGGCAGTTTCGACGCCAATAGCAGAATATGTAGATTTGTACTGCGCTTACTTATTTTATTACACTACATCAAAAATTATACTTGAATATCCGATTATAATAATTTAAATAATTCATTTGCAACATAAATGCCAAAATCTATTGGCATCGAAGTAAAAAAATTGTTATTTTTCTCTCATTTTAATGTCATTTTGACTTGTGATACGGCACTGATCACTTTAGGGTCATTAAAAATACAAATTTTTCAGATGTTTTGGAAAGGAAGCTTAATAACCAAGAAAATTCTAATGAATTAAGATTCTTCATAGAAACTTCTGCAAATCAGTCTGGTATCTTGCATCAATTTTCTTTCAGCTTGTTTATATTTTTCTTAGTGCTTCTGCAGTTGTGTAAAGTGATTTTTCATATTAGTTTTTTTTTATTATTATTAGCTGTTTTTTCTTCTAAGGTCTCTCAACTATCCAGGAAGTAGAGGCTGGAGTACAGCATATTTTAGCTGACATCTTTGCTAAAGATAAAGATACACTGGATTTCATCAGGAAATTGTAAGTTTGACTCTTGATTTCTAAGTTCTATGGTAAGATTCGGTCTCTTGGCCTGCAGGTTAAACTTTTTTAATAATGAGAAGGCATTGTTGCTGTGAGATTGTCCATTCCTTCACTTGTGCTACAGATACATTTTTTTAACCTTTCTGCCCCTCTGGCTATCAGTGGAGGAGGGGTCTGCTGTGAGCATGGTATGAATGCTGTGGCTCCCAAAGACTGAAAGATGCCTTTTGGCTCTGCTCCAAGTAGAGCCGATCTTCCTTGCATTTAGTGTTCTGTAAGAAAAAGCTTTCTCTCCTTGTCCTTCCTTCAATCTGTAACTTTTCAGAGGTGCATCTGCTTAAGCTATTGCTCCAGTATTTATTGCTTGATGCCAGTCAGTGTAATTAGTGGGCAGCAGTGGTTGATTTTGGCATTTGTAGTCCTTTGACTGTTAGCTGAATTTAAGTTTTCTTACTTTACATGATTTCAAGGTTGTCATATCAGGGGGGGTTGGTGTGACAAAGTGATAGTTGCTTGTTAAGTTTTTCCTCTGCTGTGTTCCATCTGGGACAGAGATTCTGTTTAGTTGACCCTTGTTTGCTGTTTACCATGTGTAATGGCCAACTTCAATAAAAGGCTAGAACACAGCAGTGTGATAATTTCAGTGAAGGGGTTGCTTTGTAAAGGATGTGCTGTCACCATCAGACGATCACTTTGATTCTTTTGACTACTAGAAGCTCCTTAATGAGATGTGCAATGCTCTACACATGTATCCTGTTGATCTAAAGTGTGTTTACGTATGATAATAATAGATGCACTCAGGAGGGTATCCGTTTTGGATCTCTATTACTCCCAAAAATAATGAAAACTCCTACAGTTAGGTGCTCAAAGCAAGAAATTAATTCTGAGGTTGGATAGGTTCAAGAGAGATGTTGCATTTGTATAAATATGCTACTACTTTTCTGCAACTTCCCGAAATTTGTTGTGTGAAGTTGTACCAATAAGTGATCAAACAGAAGTGCAGATGATGGCTTTTGAGTATCCCTTCCATTCAGGAGGAGAGCTGTGTTCAGCTTTCTCTGAAGCCTGCTTGAATTTCTTCTCTAGGTATGTTCATGTCAGTTCGTGTTACGTCAGTCTTGGCGTAAAGATATGCAATACAGTTCTGCGGGTAATTAGGGTTAACATAACTTGTAATCAGGTAGACTCCAAACTTCATGATTTTTATTTAATACAATTGCTAATGACATGTTACCAGTTTCATGCTGAAATACCTTATTAGCATTTGTTTCTTTTATTCAGATGTCAGCAAAGGTACATTTGTATCCAGTCAGCCTTGGCAAAAGTGTCGTCCAAAAGTGGAAATGAAAAAGACATTGATAAATTCCAACTGTACCATGAGTTTTCTTGTAATATAAAGAGCATTCAGCATCATCAGGTACAATTACAGATTTGTATATTTATATTTTTTTTCTTTAAATTTTACCTATAGCAAAGGTGGCTTTGCTTTTGATTTTTGTTGCTTAAAACTAGTACTAAAGATGATTGATTTTGCTTTCTGGTTGTCAAAGGTAATAGAGATTTTCAAATCCCTGAAATGCAGGTGTTAATCTCTGTTTTAAGAAACTGCTTATCCAGTATGCCCGTTGTCTAATTAATTCTCATTAAACAAATACTTACAATGATTTATGTATTGGAGATTTCAATTCTGGTGTGATTTATTTTCAGCATGTGTCACGCCCTCCCTCCCTTCTCTGGGTAACAAATGCATAGCAAGTGTTATCAGGAGGAGGATAAATGTATTGTGTGTAGGGGTGAGACTGCTGTGGTAGTGGCATAGTAGTGGAAGCTGGTTGGAGTGTACATATTTGAAGAAAACCTGGATAAACTTATTCTTTGTTTCTCTTGGCTGCTTGCTGCAGCACTGAGAGTGCTCTGAGTCATTTGATGCTAAACTTGTCAAGTGAAACTGGTGAGAAGTATCAGAAAAAGATCCAGAAAGATTAAATAGAATACGACCTACAAAAGCAGCTCAGGAAAACATCTCATGCACTACCCCAAAAATGGCTTTGTTTTGCAATTCATTAGTATTTCCTTTGGTGAAGCATCTTTGGTTATCCTGAATGCCAAGCCTAGACCTGTATGATTAGAAAAAGAAATGAGGGAGGAAGCAAACTTTCTAGGTGATAAGCTGATAGTTAGGCTACCCCTGTTCAAAGGCTAAAGTGTGGTGTGATCAATGCAACTGTCAAGACCTTTGTGCAGATTCACAACTAATCAAGTCAAATGTTTCTTGGTTTTGTCATAATTACTGGTCTTAAACAAACAAACAAAAACCCAAAAACCCAAAGAAGCAAAAAACCAGAAAGAAACAAACAAAACCTAAAACAAACAAAACCCAACCAAACAAAGAACACAAACACCCAAACCAAACAAAAAACAAAAACAAACAACCCAAAACACACAAAAAAGACCCTCGTAGCCAGATTCCAACCAGAAATGTCCTTTTCCTTTGGAAGACTGCCTTGTTCTACAGCAGAATGTTTTTCCTTTTATATCTATGATACGCTCTCATTTTCTCTCTGCTTGCTATTTTAAAACAGTCTGATGTTTGGAATTAATAAAGGATTTTCTTGCATGTCTTGAAATGAATTTGTTACAAAAAATATCTCACAACATGTATGTGCTGATTTTAAACACACCTCTCCCCCACTATGGATGGTGTTAGGTGAAAGACTAAACTACAAGTGACTTTTAGTTAGAGAGGCCTTCTGTAGATGCTTGAAGAAATACCTGCAGTTGTTCTCTTTGTAATAAGTATGAACATTTATTGTGTTTATATTGGGAATTATTTGGTGAAAACTTGCTTCTAGACAGTCTGGAAAAGTCAATGAGCAATCTAAAACTACTGTGGTGAAATATCACAAAGATTTGAGATTCATCAGGAGGTTAAGTATTGTGCTGTATGGATTTTTTTGTTTGGGTGCTTTACTGTTCAATGAATATTTTAGCTGTCAAAGACTGTTTAGTTTTTCTTGCACTGAGTGGTGAACACTGAGATATGAAACAATTATTGGGTGTACGTAGGTTTCCTGGGATGATGGTATGAGGATGATAAACCCCAAACTGAGGGATTTATAAAACTTGCTAATCCACCAGAACTGCAGGTTAAATAGCTGCGTTTAACTCTTGCAAAATTCACTGTTTCAAAGACCTTCCCAGCTCTTTTTTGTAACTGCACACAGATAAATGTTCTCATTGCTAGTGGAAAAAGTACAAGTCAGCTTTAAATCACCTCATTGCAAAGTGGCAAGTAAAGGATTACATAAAATACTGTAGTGAAATTGGTGCTTGTCTGAATATGGAAGTGCTAGTCATCTTAAAGGTTTGTGTGCAACCTTAACTCTGCTCTAGTTTATGCGTAAGTAAAGGGGATGGGCAGTAGACTAGTAAGTTACCTGTAAGGGAATAAGCTGTGTGTGTATAACCAGAGCATTTGTAGCCATGAGCGTGCCTTGCTGTGTATGTTACAATGAAGTAAACTGGTGTGCAGTAAGCTGCATAGTAAGTTGGTTCTATGGTTCTGAAGCTGCTGTTGCACATGCTGTAGTTCTGGCTTTTTTTCTGTGCCATTGTCATCTTATGCATTCAGACGTGCCACGAAATAATCAGGACTGGTGTGGAGTTAGGGTTGTTTGAATGAAAAATTAAAATACTGAACCTGAAACGAGGGAAAAAACCTTATTTGTTTAAAAGCCTGACTCCAGATTTTGACATGATTGGATACCTATGAGTATTTCCAGCTGGCATGTTTTGCTGTTGGGAGGTTCAGCCACAGTTCCTTCCTTTGGCAGCAAGGAGAAGCTGACTGAACTGTCTTAGGATGTAGTTGGGTAGCTATACCAACGCTGTCATAACTAAGGAAAAAAATCTTTCAGGAGTTTATTTGAATTTTTGACTAATTTTAAACAGTTCAGTGTTTGTGTACGCCTTGGGGTTGCTTTCATCTATTTGGAGATGAGTGAATTGGTGGGAGGAAAAGAATTCATGAATAAAGTGTAATGTTTGAAGCAAGTGCTCTATTTTCAATCTTATACTTAAAAAGGAATTGGAAATTAAAGTCCTTGGCAAGATATACAAAACTTGTTCAATGAGTGAAAGTAAATCAGCAACATAGAAGAGAGCTGTGCAGGTGAAGTATGTTGTATTTTTCTGATAAACAGAATAAGGTTTGATGAATCTTGTGACTAGATCAAATTATTGTTCTTGCTTTCTCTGAATAATGTATTTTGGTTTTTTATTAACTCTTCCCCTGGATCCCCTCCAGTCTCACATAAAAAGAGTCTTTTTCCAGAACTGAAAGATTGTTTTGTGTCTAGAATAGCCAGATTTTAACCTGTTACTTAAAAATAAAACAAAACAAAATAACCTCTATTAAGAAGGAGAAATTGACTAATTGATTCCTTAATTGAGCCTTTCTTGGGTGATAATTTTTCTCTGAATGCATGTCACTTAGACCAGGGTAGGCAGTTTGTTTAAGAATAAAAATGTAAATAATATTAGCGAGTGCAGCTGCTTTAAGTTCAGGTGACTGACACATTCTGCAGACAGAGTGCTAGGAAACAAAATGTGATGCAAACATTGATTCTGCTAACAGTGTGCTGAATGATGACATTATAATTCTATCATACACTCTCTGTCATGAGCATCATTTTGGTTTCATTTTAGCTTGACATTTAACTTTTTCTTTTAATAAAATCAGAATAAACATGAAAGCATTTGATTTGTTAAAATGTGTCTTTCTAATCTCTACATGAAAACATTTGCTTTGGCAGTCAAGGTACCAGATGCTATAATATTTCACATGCAATCTTTATTATTAGCTTTGTTGTTCAATGATATGTCAGGCCTGGTATGTCACAGGAACAGTAAGGCTGAGGAATATAAATTGGTACTATGTCCTGGAGTCATTTTAAACCCTTGTATTTAACATATGTGACATGTCTGAGTTAGCTAGTGATTGAATTAAAGTTTATGATTGACACAGAATGCTCTGTTGTGACAGTGCTCAGGGCCTGCTACATAGAGCAACATGTGTAGTCATACAGGAATGTCAACTTCTAGCAGTTTTTGTTTTGCTTTTTTCTAATATATTTTTGTACTTTAAAATATTTTAAAACAGAAAATGAAATCTAAAACTGTGTGGCTTTTATTTGTAACTGCTTCTAGCTATTATTCTGTTTCTAAAATCCCATGGCCAGTGAGTTTTCTTTAGGTGAAAATTCAACATTTTCATAGTGAGACTAGACCAGTAGATACCCACCAGTATCCAGGACCCATCGCTTGTGTTGCGATCTAGTTTTAAAAGAGGAGCCAGGGACTTCTATATAAAATCAAACTCTGCATGCAGATAGGACACGTGCAGCCAGATTTAGCTTTAGGTCATCAATATGCAGTTCTGTACACAAGACTGCCAGAAATATGTGCATACTTTTTAAGGCTGGAGTGTTAATGTAAAGAGTGTACCTACAATACTTTCTGCTATTTATGAACTAGGCATGAATAACTCTAAATTTATCCTCTTTCAAATTAAGCTGATCACCTTCATGTCACAAGTTCTGATTCATAATTAATTTTAAATTTGGATTGATTTTGGGGGAAGAAATATTAAGCCTGAAGCATAGGACTTTTTCCTTTTCTGATCTCCAGTCTAATTGGAAAAACCTCTTAATTAATTTCTTGAGTTTTAATTTGTGTTATTATACAAGATTATTCTACCAACTAAATTCATGCTGACTTGTATTATAACTGCATTTAAGATAAACTGGATCTTGAGATTGCAGACTCCAGGAAAAATATATGATTTGTTTTGCCATGGCATGATTTAATCTGTGTTTAAAATGTGGCTATCTGTACATGCTAGTACTTGGTGAACTGATTTACTGTACCACCATCATGATTTGCTACAGAATGTCAAGCAAGTGTGTACACAAATGTTGATAAGTTTATCTTTTGGATATTTTGTGTGTCATCTGTCTCTGCCATTTATGTTTGCACTCAGATTCTGGCCATTAACCGAGGGGAAAATCTGAAGATCCTGACAGTGAAGGTCAACATTCCTGACGGGGTGAAGAATGAATTCTGTTGGTGGTGTGTCAATGAAAGGTCTGCATGGATACATATTCTTACAGAAATCTTTTATTTTTTTTTTTCTCCATAGGCAGCTGCATACTGAAATGTACCTCACATGTCTCCTTATATTAAGAGAACAATTTCAATGAATGTTTATTAGATTAGATGAAATTAGCAAGTGGATAATTCTTATCCCATATTTCCAGCTGCTGTAGCATTATGCTGAAAAGATCACGCCTTTGGCTGTATTTAGGGAGTTCTGGCACTGCTCTTCAAGCAATTGAATTTTTAAAAAAAATATGCAAAGGCTGATGAAATATGAATATGTTTTCAAAATATAATATACAGCACATCCAGTAGTGTCTACTGAAAGGAATGTGTAGAATCCAATAGAGTATACTTCTAACTTCTAAAAATAACTTAATATGCCCGATTACAGTAATTAAACAGGGCTACCTCAGATGTTGGATCAGTAAAGTACCAACTTTGGGTTTCACAGATGTAAGGGATTGGATGCTTTTAGAAGAAGTATTAGATTTAATAGACAAACCTGAATGTGACTGTTCAATCCATGATTCTCTGACTTGCCTTTTGATCTCTGGTTAAGTTAGAAAACTGGGTTCTAAATTTTGCTGAATTCTTTTATTTCTAACTGATTTGCTGTTACAAGTTGTTTTTTCTAAGTCTGTAGTGAAATGTTTAGTGTTGTATAATTCTGAGCATTTCTTGCAAATGTTTAGGTTAAATATATGTTGTTTGGCTCATATCTGTCAGTCTTTTTCTTGGAAACTGTACTTTAATGTTCTCTGAAGGCTATTGTGATTTAGACGGTGCATCTTCCTTGTGTATATAAAAGACAGGTTTCTCTTTCTCAATAGTTTGGGATATTGGACATTGTTCTGAGGATGTCTTCGAAACTCCTGCCTTTGCATCCTAAGATTGAATAACCAAAAGGAGGAAAAGAGATAGGAAAAGATGCATTTGTTTAATATATAAAATTGTATATTGTGATACTGCTTTAGCATATATTTTTCTTCTACATTAAGTCCAAAAAAGGGATGTGGTAAAAATATTCTTTTTCACTGTAGAAATTTAGAAGTTCTGCTTCCAACATGGAAGCCTCTGAAAGAGTTGAAAGATTGTTTGGCTAGATAACATGATATCATCTAGGACTAATAGTAAATAACTTTATTTTCTGGGAAGTATCAGGATTCATAAACACACCTACATTTCATTCTAGTTTTAATACCTGTAACAGACATTCTGTCCCTTCCCCCTGAGCTGTGTATTCTGTAGGCAGAATGTATCTGTCAGTATTGCTTTTACTGCATCTGTGACAGAATTTGGAAGCACTGCGAGCCACAGATAATGGAACAGCTTGTCACTGCTACACAAATAAAAGTGGGATGTATATTGAGATATTTTTGGTTTGTTACACTTTTGTGAGTCATCCTGAGATAAAAAGAGTATTGACTTTGGCTATGGAGCTACTAATTAATATTTAGCATTCATGAGGCTACATATGCTTATGGCTTTTTACGATTTAAGGACAATTTCTCCACCTTCAGAAAACTTTTGAAGCAATGGTTTTAGTAGATCTTGGTGCATTAAGATCTAGGACAGATTGTGATATTCCGTATTAGACTGACAACTGTGTTATCAAACTGACAAGTAGTAAATGTGTATTCTGCCCTGCAAGCTTGGAAGTGACTGTCCAAGGATGGGACTTGCATTATTTGCTGATTTACTGGTGAGAGCAGAAGCTTAAGAACTTTGGTTTGAGGCAAGGATTTCAGAACTTTGCAAAGGTATTAACTAATTTGCTGAAGGTCACACACAAAATCAGTTGCAGAACCAGAAATGCCATGTTGCTACAGGATTTGGCCAGTATTCTGGCCACAAAACAATATCGCCTACTGCCTGCTGAATTAGTAGCAAATATGCAGACCTTTGTGTTCTTCTGAAGCAAATTTTTTAGCATTTTTTAGCATTTTAGCAGTGGCAAGTGGATTTGGGAGACTAGAGTTCTTCATAATTGCATTGAGGTCTATGTAGATGCACTCTAAGATTACTGAACTTTCTTTGCAGGTTCAGAGTATTTATTGGCCTGTGAAAGCATCTATATTTCCTCGAAATTGGCATTTGTGTTGAAAATGCAGGAATATTCTTATGCCTGTCCCTACGGGTTGTATTTTCTTTCCCTCAGAAACCAGCATTTGTGTGGTTTGACAGTCAGCCTAGCTCCGTTAACACTAGAACTGCACTGGTCCCAAAGACTTGGTTGTGAAGTGGGACACGGAAAAAGGGTCAGTGAGAAACAGCTGGAGAGGGGCTGGTTAGCTGGCTCTGAATGTAAAGACAACATGGAGATGTTCTTTTGGAACATGTGAGAGTTTGTTCCAAAAGGGGATTGCAGCCTTGAAAATCAAGTTTGGTGTTTGATAATATTTTTTTTGGTTTCCAGGCAATAGAATAATAGAATGTTGCCTAAATAATTCTTACTTATAGGTAGGTAATAAAAATACCTGCTGTGATAACCTATTAACAGAGGAAAGGTTTGCTAACTAGCTTTAATGGATGGAAGAGAGGGAAAAACAGCTGCCAGGTTTCCAAATTAATTCTTATTTGTGCTGAGGATACTTTCTGGGGGAGTGTAGTCATACTTACCACCTGTAAAAACTTCATGTTGATAGCATTGGATGGCAATAAGAGGGTTTTAAAGCCTTTGCCAGTTTTTTATAGGTATGGAAAGAGTCTCCAGTTACAAATAAGCAGAATAGAACTATTTGCAAAAACTCTTAGCAAAGTGATGAGGTCATGTGGCTAAGCTCTCACAACTCTGAATGTTGTAAAACTAAATGGTAAGCTTAATTCTGCTCCCACGTCTGCCTGCATTAATGCAATGCTGACTCGGTCACACATTTCTCAACCGCTATATGCGCAGACACTTAGAAAAGCTGTTTCAGAAAACTGTAGATCCCCTCAAACAACTGAAAAGCTGTCTGGGTAGGAGCAATTTAGGATTCTTAGTGTTCCTGAGTGAGTGCAAGTAAGCGAAGTAAAAAATAAAATTCAGTCTTGTTTTTGCCTGAGCCTGTACCTGCACACATTATCAAATGGGCATAGTTCTATCATGCTGCATTTAAAAAACACCAAAACAAAAGACTTAAAAAACTTACCCAGACATACTGAAAAATATGTATCTCGCCAATTTGCAGTTAGGGAGCCAAAAAAACCCACCCCAAAACACTAAATGAAGAAAAGACTGAATGTTATCAATATTTTAAAAAGGAATAAAAACTAGGTGAACTAGGAGAAAATGTTCATAGTCTTTACTTCTGTTTGAGTATAATATATCTGGCTGCATCTCCTCAATCATTCGTCCTTCTCATCGGGTGAACAATCTCAGTGAGTCAGTTGTGCTTGTTCAAGAACTTCCTTCCCCCCTCCAGTAATGTTACCTAAACAAAAAAGATTATTGGAATAAATGTTTAGGATCTATGTTCTGGGGAGCTTTGAAACTGGGGGGTGCTTCAGGACAAAATCTGAAGTAATTGTCATTATAGGTATGACCACTGTGCATAGTCATCTTAGAAAAGGCAATGCGCCAAACAGTTTGGCTTAGAAAAAATTGGGAAATAATCTTGTGTTTGTTTGATATCGTTTATTTCATTTTCCCATCTTCTATAATATTATTTAGACTTTAAATATATCAGCAACAGATAAAAGAGAAAAATAGTTTGCAAATTGTTCGGGTTTTGTTGTTCAAGGACTACTGCAAAATCGATAGATTTCATTTTGAGTTTGAATGGAAATACTTAAAGCATGCCAAATGAAATTTAAGTTGGATTTGATTAATTGATGTTAGTTTAGCTCTTTTATTTCTGTCTGGGCACAATTGCTTTACACCAGTAGCTCTGCAAAGGATGCATCCTCTCACAAAGGTTGTTTAGTTTTGTTTTTTTTTTTTTTTTTTTTGTGTGTGTGTGTATTGGAAATAATACAACCGTAATGGTAATATGAAATCAAGTTCTTCAGTTGTGATAAGCTTTGACTTTTCTAAGTGAAAAGTAAATTTTTTTGTATTTTCTTTAAAATATAAATTATGATTCCATTCTAACACCTAATAAAATAGAGAAAAGATAGGCCTTGTGCCTTGTCTGACAGTAGAACCATTTTCGATTTCTCATTCCATTCATATTTACAGCTATGATTTCATTGCTTAATTATTTTAATAATTCTGTACTTGATAGGACATTACACTAATATAGAAGTCTTTTTTTTTTTTTGAGAATTCTCTTTTTATCTGAGTTTTTGTGTATGTTCTTGAAATATTTTTTTAATTTTTCTAATCTTTTGTAGATGGAGACCAAAACAATTTTTAAAACCAGAATTAATGAGGATACTACGGAATTCAGTAGAGGATGCGTATAAACGTCTTATACATCCTCTCCTTTGTAGAGAATTCAGGTAAGCCAGAGTGAATGTGTGTTTTCATACTACCAATTTCTTAATAATTCCATTCTTAATTTTTATTTTATCCATTTGAAAACGTCAGCATGTTTTTACTCCTCTGTGCTTACAGAAAAAGTGAACTGTGTAGTCTTGCTTCTGTAGATGTAATTTGTGACCCTATCCAGTTCAGGCTACAGTTGAGAAATGATCTTTCTGAGAAGACATTTTACATATTTACATATTTGTTGCTTGTACATTTATCTAATTAATTATGGTTTAGCTCTACATTACCATAATAGTTGTATCTTTATCCTAATGTTAGCATAAACCATTATGTCACTGAATCTTCCCAGCATCTCTTTGTGTCACAGCAGTAGAACTGTCAGTGACATTGTTCTCACTTTTCTTTTACCTGTCTGAAAGAAATCATCAAAGTAATTGTTGTGGTTGGAAGTGTCCCTCATGTTTGTCATCTGCACTTTGTGGTGAACAAATTAGTCATAGTGTTAGCCTGATAACATTTTGTGGGTGTTGTGATGGCTCTAGAGAAGTCACTAAACCTATTTCTGGTGATTCTGTAGTAATGATGTCATCAGACAAAGTGTCACCTTCAAGATCTGTAATACTGTTCTCAAAGGAAATTGAAAACTTAGTGTCAAAGTCACATTAATTAAATAGGATATTTTCATGTTGTAGTATGGGAGTTTACCACATAGTTGAATTGATTTAGTGTCCAAAAGTCTACATTCTGAAAGCATTGTCTTCTAATGGCTAACAGTAGTGATAATGTGATTCTTCTCTTGAAGGTATTCTAATGGCTTTTGGATTTCTTTACTGCAGTATGTTGTGTTTGTCCATTACTTTGCAACCAAGATTGCTTCAACTTTTTTGATTAAGAAGCCTGTCTTTGCTGCTGTGAATTTCACAGATTTTTGGAAGTGCTGAGTTCACTTGCTTTCTTGTGTGTGACCACAGTACATGTAGCTACTTTAGGGGAGGCACTGTATCTATTGTTTGGCCAAAGTAATGGACATTTCGTGATGGTGAATCCAACTGTTGGCTTCTTGCACGTAAGTGTGAAAGTAGTTTTTATTCCTAGCCTTCTCCATAATCAAGCTCTTCTAAAGTAAAGCTACTTACTTTTTAGTAGGGCTTGGTTTTATCACAAATAAGCAAAGTGATATGAGGGTTCTTCAGGGCTCTTCTGTTGTGTTTTTGCTTTGTGATTCCTACCAGAGGACTGTTGTAGCCTATGTGTTGTGTATTACACTGTGAAGGTGCTGCAGCAGTAGGTTGCCAAAGGTTTTTCTGTTCTCTTAATTACAATTAAAAAAAAAAAAAGCTTCCTTCCCTGATACTTCCTAGATGCAGCTCACAAGGCATAAATGCAAAGAATACAAATTTTGCTGTGCCTGTTCCTGAGGTGACCTGTGCTTACGTTTTACTCTTCGTGGTAACTTTGCATGATTGGTGATGTCTGGTTTAGGAAAAGCTGAAATGTCTCCTGTAGAGAGAAATGCAAACATCTGCCAGTAGTAGTCCTGATCCTTGACCACTTAACCCTTATACTTCTTTTATTCTCTTTCCACCTACACTAAAAGCTGATTTTTAGGACTCTTGCAAAGGGCTGCTAAAGTATTCAATACCTCCTTTAGCATTAATATTTCCAACCCACCCCCCACTGTTCTTTCTTTCTTTTTATTATCATTAAATGTTGGAACAGAAAGTTTCCAAGAGTGTGCTGAATTTCTGGTACTTCCAGTGATCAGGAGAATGAAACTTGCCAGCAAGACACTTACCTTATTTATTGTTTAATTTCCTTTCTTCCACTCTGTTAGATACCATCATTTCTTGTATCTGGTATAATAATGTCCAGTGTTGCTTTTGGCTCTTTGAAATACATTTTATTTTGTTGCAGTACTGCATGGAATGATTCCATCAGGATTTGATGCAAGTGATGTGGCACAGACATATTTTTTAATGGATAATCCTTTCGTAATTTTCCATGCTTTCTTGAAGTGAGTGCTTTCTCTCCTCTGTCTTTAGGGACACAAACATTTCTCTATATATCTTGTTTCGCACCTGAAGCTAGTTTGCAGATATTTTTCCACGGAAAGGATTGCCTCTCAGACTGTATATGAGAGTGGGGAATTTTAAATCTCAATTTAAAAACTGACTCTTGTAACGTTGAATATAGAGACCAGTAGGTCATGATTAGGTTATTTGCTTTTATTAGAATATACCTGTAAGTGATATTCAGTCTGAGTGCTTCATAAACTTCAAGGGAGGGACTTGAAATTCTGACTTGGTTGATATTTACTGCAGGATTTTGTTTTGTTTTGGTTTTTTGTGGGGTTTTTTTTTTTGTTTTTTTTTTTTTTGTTTTGTTTTGTTTTTTTTACAAAATAACCTTTCCTCTTGTGTTTACAGAGGAGGACTGTTATCTGCCTCTGCCTTATATCTCTGCTGTATTAATGAGAATTGTCACAAATTGTAAAATCATGAAGCTGGGCATCTTGCCATTTGGATGAAGCCAGTAGTGCACTGAAAAAGAGAAAGATATTGGATTGTTTTAGGTAGCTTGATATTTTTTCAAGGATCAAATGACTATCCCAAACTGAAATTAAGGGCCGGTATTTGGGACCATAGATCATGTCATTGATATGAGTGTTGAGTGAGAGACAGTTAGAGAGAAAAGAGAGGTCTATATCTGAAATTTAAAAAATACAGGATATTATGTAATAGAAAGGCCATACGTTATGTTCCCCCCACGCACCTGGCACTTTCAGTAACATTTCCTGTTACTATAAAGGTTTCTGTATGTCCATGCCAATTTTAAACATGATTTCCATAAGGTGCGCGTAATTAATAGCATGTGTTTAGGGGCAATTTTAATTCCTGCACAAGACTTCCTTCACAGGTGGACTGATTTGAATTTGCAGTGTGGGAGGATTTGGCCTTATGGGCAATAGGGGCCTTGTGTCTTCGGCATAGATGGAAAGCTGCAGCTTGGTCTCTCTCTGTACAAAGCCTTCAGTCCAAGAGCATTCCCTTGTTTACAAGCCACTTTTAAACTTCATTTGTGTACAAGTATGACTGATTGAATCTCTTCTGCATCTCTATTAGAAGATCCATATAGTTGTGAAGCCTAGGTGTTTGTTTTGTTTTCTCTGGTCTCTCATAAGTGGCGTCAAATTATTTTGTCCCTAGACTCTGCCTGGAAGAAGCTCATTCTGTGGTTTAGGTTATTTTTCCTTAATTTTTGTAAGAATGGGAGAAGAATGCTACAACTGAAATTCAGTGGAGATGAGTGTAAACTGATGCTTGCAAGTGGAAGTCATTATCTTTTTTTGTATAGAAGGTTGAGCTCTCAGCTATCCCACCACAGGAAAAACACTTTGGCACGATGGATGGTAGCTCCACATAAATGTTAAGTGCTCAGAAGATAAGATTATTTAGTTAAGGAATAAAGACAAAACAGAATCACTGATTTAGTTGGCCCATATTGGGAGTATGATTGGCCATTTTGGTCCCTTCAGCTCGGGGTGTGTGTGTAGGAAGTAGTAAAATGTTTCGTTAGAACTGGAAAAGGCCCAGTGGAGGGGAACAAGGTATGAAAATTTCTGTATGAAGAAGGGTTGATTATGCTATGACTTTCCAGCTTGGAAAAGAGAGGACTTAGAGATGAATGGCATGTGAAGAGTGGCACAAATCTAGAGGCTTTTTACTCTCTTCAAATATAAGACCTAGGGGACCACAAAAATTAAAAAAGAATCAGCTTCCAGCCTAAAGATGGCAGCTATTTGTGCACTTTGTGATGGGCCTGTTGGGCAGAACTCACTGCCAACAGATGATGTGAGTATAGGAAATGTGCATGGGTTTTGGAGAAGACTGGGTAGTTGGACAACAGATGTGTTACGGGCTACTAGAGACAAATCATGTCAAGCTTAGGAAATACTCCAAGCTGGAAATAGTTGGAGGCTAGGATAAGATTATGGGACAGGTATACTATTGCTGCTGTACCAGCTCTATAGGCAGCTGCCTATTTCCACACTTGGAGACAGGATGCTGAAATAGAAGGAACACCTTGCTGAAGTAGTACAGCCGTTCCCAAATTCCTGTTCTTAGTGGTGGCAATATATAGATTGTCAGCTCTTTGGTGCTGGACATACGTTTGAATTGCTAAGGACTCTTGGAATGCATGTATACCCTTCACTTTAAATCAGCTCTGTGTTATTTGGTATACTTGACACAGAAACAAAAAGCATAGGGATATAGGGGGAATCTTTTGCTGTTGCATACTTGCTTAGAAAAGAATCTAGACTGCTTTACATATGAGAGATGATGAGGACTTACCAGCTCTTTCTGCAGCACTGTGGGATGAAACAGGGCTGAGCTGGCTGTTTGGATGGATCCTGGGCAAATTCAGATCAGACTCTTAAGTTCTTCAACATCTGAAAACTGCTCAGAACAATTTCGTACTCCATCATGTTAAACAGCCCTTACGAGGGTTGTCTTTCAACTATTCATAGTTTGCTTGTGTCCTGCATTGTTTGACCTAAGCAACTTGAGTAATTCTCCCTACCGTATTCTTACAGGGTTAGTTAACTTGAATGCAGGTATTTTCTTCTGTAAAATTTAACCCAGGTATTATTTTTTTCATTGATGGGTAAAAGGAAAGGAAGAATAAGGGTCCTGGCTACCCTTTGAGTTATATGAAGGCTTTACTGAATTGCTTTTGCTTGCCTAATATTGTTTTTACTGACAGTGTAATGCAGCTGAAAATGGCATTGAGTACCTGCAAAAGAGAAGAATCAGCTAGGTGATGAACAGATGTGTCCCCATTACTTTTCAGTTTCCTTTTTTTAATATAAAATGCCATATAGTCGTAAAAATACTTGTCCTTATCAGTCATTGTCTTACTGGCCACATCTGACAAGAAATAATGCATCTTGTACACCTTCTTTCAACAACTGCTCTGCAGTAAATGTTCTTGCTTAATATCATCAAAGTCAATCCTTGCTGCACTAACTCCCTCCCTTCTGTTGAAGAACACAGGGGGGAAAAAAACGGTAGGGAACATCGTGTCTCCATCAGCTTTGTAGTTTGATTTTGGGGAAACAGAATACCTAGAAAGAGCTCAAGTCTACAAACTTCTGTGATGACTGTTAAATAACGGAATTCATAGATCAAATGCCTCATGAGTCACGGTGTGTTAGCAATTAATTGGATAGGCCCCTCCAGTTTCTTTCTAGAGCTTCTCAGTCTAACTGATGATCCTTTTATTGCTGGGTAGTGATTTTTCTTCAATTCTACTTTTCTTTGCAATTTTATGGGAAGCTGTTCTTCGCTCAAAATTGAGTTTGTTTGAATGCTTGTTGGTATGTGTACATTCTTATAGGTGTTTCTATTATACTCTTTATATTGATTTACCACAATGAGATGATCATATAGCTGATCCTTTTTAAAAAAAAAGTCAAAATCTTGATTGGAAGTGTAATATTTAATTAAAGTAATGAACACAAGATTGGAAAAAGCCTTACAACTTTGGAACAATTCAAAAGTGCATTTGAAAGCTAACTGAGGGGAAAATGGTTTTTGCTTTCATACTTTTAAGATCAAAGTTGACATCTGATGCAGAGAAAGAGTCTGTGATGATGTTTGGGAGAAATCTTCGGCAGTTGCTTCTGACCAGCCCTGTGAGGGGACGTACTTTGATGGGAGTCGATCCTGGCTACAAACATGGCTGCAAGTTGGCTATTATTTCACCAACCAGTAAGTTTCAATTCCAAATGTTTTTGAAAGGACTGGTAAAAATGTATTCATTTAGAGTAAAGGAAAGTTTAAAAATCTACTTCTTTATCAAATTGATTTTTTGTTTTGTTTTTGTTAAGCTTTTAGTGTTTTCCACTTATGCAAATTCCTTTTTTCAGGCTTAAGGTTAACTTTCTGGCACCTGGATTCCAGTATCTCCTTTGGTGTTATTACTTCTCTCTGAAATAGAATTCAAAATCACTTCTGCATTCTTGAATACAGGTTCAGATAATTGTGCTTCTCAGTAGTGAGCAACAGGAACACCTGTCATTTTTATTGTTTAACAAAGAACTTGAATTTAAATACTTTCTGTAACTTTTCATGGGTAATATCTTGAACATCTGTGGACACTTTATCAGCCCTTTTTTTATAATAGTATGTGTGTTAATGTGACAAGTCAGAAACATTGCATTTGCAGAACTTACTAGTTCAGTTTTTAGACAGATACAGAAAGCAGTCTTTCCAGTTCATCCTAGTCTGATCTGGGGATAGACACCCCTTTAGACCCATGCAAAAAGGGTTTGTTTTCCTTTGATTTTGTCGTTACTTCTTGTCTGAGAATATATCCTCTCAGGGTGGGTGTAAGGAAAGATGTGTTCTTGAGACATATTAAAATCGTAATAAAGGTAGATATAGTTAAATGAATAGGTAAATGGCTATTAGCTTGCATTACTCCATAAGCTATTGATACCAGTAATAATACAGTTATTTCCAAATGTGATAGATGGGATGATGGCAAGAGAAGATGGCATTGGAATTCTCAAGTTCCCGGACTGCAAGTCCAGAGACTGCATTCCTCGTTTTCATTTCTCTTTACTGGATCTGTAAAATGTCCTAGACTAGAGCAACAGATCTTGTACAGTGAATTGCTGTTTTTCTCTTTGATAATATAATACATCATATTTGCCTTCTAAGACTAGATGCTGATTATGTTATGTGAATGTGTTCGCAGGGAACTGGAAAATGTATCAACTCATTTTGCTTTGTCAGGCAAAGCATTTTTGTCCTCTGCCCACCATGTGTTTCCTGTAATTGGAATCAGAAATAAAAGGGAAAAATGTGTTATTAAGAAGCTTTTTTTGTGAATCATCAAATTAACTTTAGGTATTCCTCAGGATATAGCATTAGGATATTTGTTTTTTACCAAATGGCTTTGCCTTTCATTGTTCTAGGTCAGATACTCCATACTGATGTTGTTTACTTACATTCTGGTCAAGGATTTTGTGAAGCAGAGAAGATAAAGAGGCTTCTGCTACAATACAAGTATGCTAAAGAAACTTCCATTTATTACTCTTTCTTACCAAATGTAATGGAAATCTTTACTATATAAATACTTAGGTTTGGGTGGAATAAGAATTCAGTTGATTTAAATGGACTTATTCTTTCTTTATGTACTTCAGAGCTTATTTTTCTTTTAGTCTATATTCATGCTTTTACCCTATGTATATGTTAACAGCATATGAAATCAAGCTGTGGCTATGACTAAGGCAGCATGCTATGAATGTATCCCCATAAAGCTCTGACAATCCATTTATTTTTAGGAATAGAAATTAACATTCAGCTAAGAAATAAGTTTAGCCTCACTCTTCCTATCCCCTCTAAATCACTCATCAATCTTTCCCTGTTCCAAAAGCCACATTTTAACTTTCAGTAAAGTTTTACTAAGCGAAGGAAATCCTACTCAGATAGATCTCCAGACAGACTTTCAAATAGGGGCAGCATGGTTAAAAGGTTATTGTATTCAACTACTTTGGGATCCCCTGTGGACAGACATCTGGTCTACTGAGTCAGCTGCTGAACTGCCACAGCACACAGTCCAGTTTGTCTTTAAGCATTAGATTGCCTTTAAACAAGGTGATTTGATGGCTGACTGACTGTGGTGGGGGCAGTCAGAGGCAATGACCTTGCAAGCTGTTGCAAACTATGACATTCCCATTAACGAATTAAAATGCAGATTGCTTGGGCTTCTGCCCTTTCTCATAGAATCATAGAACAGATGAGGGAAATACGAGGTGAAAGGGTTTGAGGATTGTAAATAACATTACGTTTCTTGTATGAATATGAAGGATGTTTTTTTGTTTTTCTGCAGATTTACCACTGTTCAATTCCATGGAATGAGTGAAAATTTTGACTCATCTCTTAAGCTGTCACACGGAAAACATGACAAATACAATATGCTATTACTGGGAATATGTTCTGATCAAATCCAGGCCTTGTGTTGCATAGAATAAGATGTATTGGTCATTGTTGTGGACTGAATGCTATATGTGAAAAAATCTAAAGAATAAGTAATAACTATTCATTTTTTTTACCCTGTGCAAAGCTGTAGCACTATCGTGATTGGCAACGGCACTGCCTGCAGAGAAACAGAAGCTTACTTTGCTGACTTAATTATGAAGAAGTATTTTGCACCACTGGATGTTGTTTACTGGTAAGATCACTTTGCTTCCTGCGATATTCATTTGTTCAGCATATTTTAACTTAACAGGTAGTTTTAAATATAATTTTTTTGAAGTATTTCTTTGTGTTGCCTTGTCTGTCTTTGAGTCAAGCTTGACCCATCCGTCCCTTTAGCCAAAGGAAAATGGCTGTAGCTCTTTAAGCGTGAAAGTAGTTCACATGCATAAGACAGACACACTGAAATATTTTATTTTCTTTCC